AATCTTCTACATAAAAGATGAATAAAAACACGATTATGCGAAAGAGATCATTAAATAGCATATGCTATAGTATATTTCTAACCTATACAAAATTATTATTCGATAATCGTATCAATGGTAATTCATATATAAGTGAAACGTTACTTTATCATATTTTCGTTTTGATTCCAAGCATTTGCCCAGAGCGACAAGAAGGTATTACATAAATAATAATTAACAAGCCTGACCTCGGCGATATTAAAATTCAAGATTGACAATTTCATCATCTCTTATACAATATAATTTTAAAATCATATATATTGATAACATTTTAGATTCACGAACTTGAATTTTTACTATTTAAATAGCTTATAGAATTTTAAAAAATTTTGAATACGAATCTATTAAAAAAAATATAATAAACTCGATGTTAAAAGAAAAGATTTTTTTAAAATATTTAGAAATCGAAAACTTATAAAAAAAATCTATTTTTCAAAATTATAATATATATAATAAGAATAATCAATCATAATATATCACCAATTTAACGATGAAAAATTTTGTATAAAATAATTTTCGAAACAGGACGTAGAATATTAAGTAAAAAAATCTGATAAAAAACTCATAAAATTTAATATATCATTTTTTGTCATCGAAGTAATATTTTTCTACTTTAACAATTTTTCAACAAACTTGTTTCTTAAGAATGCAAATATTTTAAAAATGCAATACATTAAAAATTAAAAATATTCAAATCTAAAAAAAAAAAACTAAGCAGAATTGAAAAACGAGTGTTTCATATGTAAAATCATATCAGACACTGGCATAAAACACAATATGATGAAATAATTTAATTTGATGGTAATTCATGAAAAGAAAAGAGCAAGTAGAAAAGAAAATCCACCACTTTGCATAATCATTCAATCGTTTATAATAAATATTCATGATTTATGCTGTATAGATGTACGTCAATGTAAACGTTGAAAACCAGAAAATACTACTTGTGGAACTCTGAGAAATAGATTCGAGTTCAAACAGTATAGGCGTGTTTACGTATGTTCTCAAGGATGACTTTTACGAAAACTCTCAAAGTTTATTCTATATTAAAAAAATTACTAGATAAAACTATGATATTATTAATATTTTGAAAGAATTAATAAAATTTATCTACATCTATTTATATTTATTTATAAACAATGCATTTTATTTAACTTTCTATATCTATATATATTTTAATTTATATATCTATTTTAACTCGGACATTATTCTATAATGAAGATTGAATTATAATATTGATCCATTTCATTTTTGAAATGTCACAGATAGCATTATGTAAATTAGAGGGTATAAATTAGCAAATAAGTTTGACAAATAAATATAAGTGAAATTCTAATTCAATTTAATTCAATATATAGTTGAGTAGAATTAAATCAATAAATTGGATTTAAACACATCCAATCTAAACTAAAAGTTCATGTTCTAAAATAAAATATGTTAATTTTCTATGCAAATATTATAGTATTATGCAATATGTAAAAATTTAATAATAAATCAAACAATTCATTATTTACAAAATTAAGATAAAATTATATACATAAATACAATAATAAAAATATATAATGTAAAAATTTATAATTATTTTACAATCGATACAATTATTGTTTCAGAGAGTATTATAACTATTGTGATAAAGAAGAACTATTCTTGGTACTCAATAGCTTCTTTATTTTCATTATTATGATAGCATATAAAATTTCCTAAGACGGAATATTCCAGTAATCCAACTAGGAACAGAGTTTTGTTTCAAAAATTAGAGAATCAGTGACAGAAAAATCTGTGTTCACTAATACAAAATAACTGTGTATGGTTACGGGTCATGAAGTACACGCGTGACATATGAAATTCATATCTATTGCCATACAAAGTAAAAGATAACCTCCACATTTGAAAATTGTCGTTTACACCCGGTTTCCATGAAATCTTCTCGTAATCAAAAATTTTCCATTAACTATAAAAAATATAGAGATTTCACTAACATTAAAAGATCATCTTATTAAACTGATAAAATAAACATTTAAATAGTTAAATGGTGATAATTATTCGCATCTTATTATCTTGAAATTATAGAAAATTTAAATAATTAAAAAAAATAAAGGATTATCCATAAGTATCAATCTTTCTTCCATAAAATTCTGAGAAAATAAAAGAATGTGTTATGTGTAACTTGTTGTATTTCTGTTTTAAGATAATATTGAGTGGGAGTGCTTTTAAAAATAACTAAAATGATTATGAAATTAGACGAAAGGCCGTCTAAAAATTTCAGAGCTACTTAGAACAAAGTGTTTGGCTCGGAATCGATTTGATTCGATTACAGTAATATCATTCAGGGTCGAATCAATGTAAAAAATATCACATTCACAAAGAGTATACAAATGGGAGAAAAAATTTTTAAACGAATACACGACTACCTGTTTTGTCACGACTTCTTGTTTAACTGTTTATTCGATTGATAAAGAATAAAAAAAATTCAAGTCGCAACAGCCCCAAGAAATATTATTATTTTTATCTTTCCTAGAATTAAATTTAAAAATAATAATACAAAATAATCCCGATTTGGACATCATTTGAGAATCATATCTTGAAATTTTCAGTTCGACTTTTTTCTCGAATATATAAAAAATTTAATTAAAAAATTAAAAATTTTATTTATCTATTAAGAAAAAAACAATAGTTTTATCAATAATTAAAATAATTTAAAAAAGTTTTGGATTTTATTTAAAATCAATAATCATAAAATAACTATTCATAATAAATATGATATCTCTTTTAAATGTTTTCTTCATTTAAAAAAAAAATAAAACTAACAAAACATTTGGATTTTCGCAAATATAATACTATCAGTTTACTATCAGAGAATTTTATCAAGATTTACGGCAAAGATCGATTATTTTATCTTGGATTAAATGTCATTATTAAAAAATTCATATTTTAGAATTTCATATGCTGTATTCCTGAAATTCATCTTTTAAAATTTAATATTTAAAATTAATTATTAATATCATTATAATATAGTCAAAAAGAATTAATTCAATGAAATTGATTAAAAAATTCTTTTACGAAATTAATTTATTTATCAAAATAACTTATAATAAGTTTATAAATGAAATCGAATATATTGTATCTACTATTGTATCGATATTTTTAGGTTAAATTGATATTTAAATTTAATTCCGAAGTTATATCTATATTCAAATTCAAATTTTAGTTTTAATATAAATCTAAATTCTATCAGATTAAAAAATCCACATATAATCCATATATGCGACGAATTTTTTTACGAAATTCTGACAGATAACTTAATTTACATTCATGTCCGAATCAGCAATTCAAATAATGCGCGTTTTATATAATGAAGTCATTCATAAACAATAAGACATGATTAACAATAATTAAACATGCAAAAATTTAATAAGAAGATAAATAAGCAGTAAGTTTTCTGTAAATAAATATCTTTAAGATTTCACAGATTGTTCTTGAAAAATTGATACAATATTTTTCTCGCATGTTTTTATATTATTTTTTCAATAAAATAAAAGGAATAGAATAATAAATAAATGCATATATGAGATTTTTTGTTAATTTACACGATTGTATTTTATAAGTTATTCCTGCATCTTTATTTTTTAACTTTAGTTGTTGTTTAAAAATACTAAAAAAAATTTACTTTGACACAATTTGTAGGAAAGGTTATAATTCCTTAAGCTAATAATAATTTTCAAAAAAATTTCATGTCAAATATTGAAAAAATACATTGATATAATGATGATACAAAAATATGTATTTTTCTATATATACAGTAATCTATTATATTATATATTATATACATACATTTCTATACATTTATATAATTTAATTAAAACTTACCAAGAATGTAGATTGTACAATTGTACGATTTTCTTTCCTTTATTTTTTTTACTTCTTTCTCATATCAGGCCATTTAGATTGATTAATATATTACATTATCCTAATAATTGACATAAAAATATTCTTTCTATACAAAGTAATAATTTTTCAAAACAAAGAAATTATTTAAACTTTTATAAAACAAAAACATTTTGAAATAATATAAATCTTAGATTGAAAAATATTTATGGTAATAAAAGTCACTTTTCCACATAATATTTGCAATTAAAATGCGAATTCAAACTGATCACAACAATGCAATACGATTGATGTATTTAAGATACTGTATCTAAGATACAAATAATAACGCCCTCTGCTTTCTTTTTTTTAAATATAAATTTAAATATAAATTTTCAAAACATTCATACATTTATCTCATGTTTTTGTATATAATTAATATAATAAGATTGTTATAAAAAATTCATTTACAGATTTTGTATGTATAAAATTTATATAATGATATAAAAATATGTACTAAATATTGTAATATATATTGCAATATTTTGTACATATATTACAATATTGTAATAGATGTAATAAATATGTAATAAATACTCAAAAATTCAAAATCAAAAATCTAATAACTTATTATTTTTTGTTATTTGAAAAAAAATTATTTAAAAAAAAAACAAAATTAGAATGAATATCAATTTATTAAAATAAAATATATTATTTAAATTTTCAGATTTATAGAAAAAAAACAATAAAAAACAATAAATTACATTGATTTGCAAACCAATTTAAATTCGCGCAAAACAATTTGTTTACATTTCACGAAACGAACTAAAATAAATTTTTTGACGTAAAAAAAGACGTAAAATCGAAATATTGAAAAAAATTCTTAGTACATATATTTTAATATTTATATAATGAATTTATGTTGTTTATTAATAAGTAAAAATTCGATTATGATAATAGATAAAGAATATAATAAAATAAAAAATATATTTAATAATTCTACAATTCTATTTTATACAGTTTAATATATCATACACATTTGAATTATTCATTAAATTGGCGAGTCTAATTGATTTCGTTTTAATGGATTTATCAAATTTTTTAGCACGTGCGTAGCAAAGACAAGAGAGTGATGACTGGCTGCATAATATTAATACATCTGCGATTGGTCGCAAGTTGGAGGCTCGACTAAATCGTTTAAAAATAAATTAGCACTCAGTGCAGTATCGTGCGGGTTAAATTGAAACCGGCCAGTGCACTCGAGAAATTTACGCCGGTCGTTCGGGTTACATACTCGTGTCGTTTGAAGTCGTTTCTTGACCACTAACACTTGTGATCATATCTGTGTTCGTTTATTCAAGGAATGACGTGCGATTCAAAGCACGTGTAACCGATTCGTGTGTTTTACGCTGTATTGCAAAATCAATTGCTGTGTTATCTACGCATAAACGTGCAGACGATAGATCGAACTTAACCTCAAAGTCGAACATAGGATTATACTTAGGGGTGTATAATTCTTTTTATTTTATTCAAAACTAACGTGCTGAAAGATATCTTAGATTATACAATATCTGATGTGTTTTTTATTGTATATAAATTATTTTTGAGTGCATTTTTTGAAGCTCGACTATAATGATGTTAATAATTTTAAAAAAATCTTGACAATGTTTATCTAACAGTGACTGTGATAAAAAGAATTGGTTCACTTGTTGCTATGTTGTTCATTAATCCCAGAATGCAAAGTGAGAAGAAAATAGATCCGAAAGAAATGATATAATTAGTATGGTAGGCATACGTAAGTAATATCGTCTGTGATGCGTCGACGTGTATTCTCATCGTATCCAATCATCGTGTATAATCGTTTTATTTGCTCGTTATTGCGTCATGAATTTATTCGAAAGAAAATGCATTTACTTATAATCTTTGCATTGCGCATCATTGATTCTTTCATGTTCTTGTGAAAATATTAATTAAATGATCTAACAATTGCGTAATGTTATTGATAACGCGTAAAAATATATAAATGTTTTCTTTCCTGAAATCTTAACTATAAATATTTGCATATATAAATATCTATTAGATGTTATACAAAATATTATAAATTATATATTATTAATTACATATGTTATAATTACATATATTATAGTTATAATTACATATATTTATTAAATTATATATAAATATTTATTTTAATAATGATAATTATAGAAATTATTTATAATTGTGCTTTACTATGCATTATTATACTATTCATCTGTTACTTACTGTGCATCTTTTTTTCAATGTTTTCAGGTTAAATGTTACCAAAATGTATATGATTTAAAACATGTTAGTGAGACAGCCTTGAAATGTTTCGTAGTTTACCAGATAGGGTGGCAGGGCTATATTATGCCCATGGCCTGTTTTGTTCATCTCATCCTGTTGCAGTCATTTCATTGGCAGTTTCAATTATATTACTATGCTGGTTAGTATTTCTTTTTTAAATTTTATATTCATTCATAATTCAGTGAGTAAATAGCAATTAAAGGCAAATAACATTATTCTGATTGTTATTATTTTTTCTTCTAGCTATCCTTTGGTTAATTTACCAATGCCTGGCAATACGCCACGAACTATAATCAATCATACCATTGTACCTGAAAACAATACAGAAAATTCTGTGTTTTATGTACAACAAGTGATATTAAGAGTTGGAGTTGTACCATGGACAGAAGAGTTAACATTGATGGATGCTTTTAGAGGTCCACTGTATGAAGTTTTTAATCTTTTAGAGATTATACAGAATTATCAGCATCCAAAAACGTAAGTTATTTGTATATCATAGAATCTTGATTTAAATTATATATTTATCTTTATTACTATATTTTTAGATTAAAAACACTTGACCAAGTATGTTTGCATATTGAAGCAGTTAAAAAAAGGAATGGAAAAAAGTCAGAAGTTTTGCCAGAATATAACTGTCTTGTTCTTTCCCCTGCAAATTTATGGCAACGAAGTATCGAACTTTATGCACAAGATACAAATCTTATAAATACTATATATTCTTATCAGGTATGAACAAGATTTTTTCAGAACAATTTAGAGAAATTTTATATATATAGTTTTAAATATAATAAATTGTTAAAAAAATAATCTATTACAATTATATATTATAGAATCTACAAAAAGGTAAAATTAGTTTAGCAGAGATAATGTTTGGCATGAATCTTAAAGAAACAGGAATAAAAAGATATCCAATGCGAATTAGACAAAGAATTTTACAATATGCAGTAACTATTTACTTAAAAAACTATGATCCTGAGTAAGTAATTAATTGATAATAATTGATAAAAAAATTATTTATTTATTATATTTATTGATTATATGATTAATTCAATTTCTAGATTTATAAAAGGATTACAATATAGATTAAGAAATTATTATCATCTTCATCAAATGGAAAGTGAAAATACTACAAATATTTCAACAGATGAAACATTACATATTTTTTATCCTGGTGAATTTAATTACAGTGATTTTTTTCCATTGATGATGACATTTTTTGCTTTGTTTTTTTATATTTATTTCTCTGTGCGAAAAATAGAATTAGTGAAATCAAAAATTGGAATAGCATTCGGTGCAACTATAACAGTGATAGGTTCACTATCTATGACTGTGGGTGTATGCTTTTTTTTTGGTTTAACTTTAAGTCTGAGTGGAAAAGAAGTGTTTCCCTATTTAGTGATTATCGTAGGATTAGAAAATGTATTGGTATTAACCAAAAGTGTAGTGAGTACTCCAGCACATTTGGATGTAAAAATACGTGTTGCTCAAGCTTTGTCCAAAGAAGGTTGGTCTATCACCAAAAATCTACTTACAGAAGTAACAATCTTAACAATTGGATTGTTCACTTTTGTGCCAGCCATACAAGAATTTTGTATATTTGCTATTGTGGGATTGGTCAATGATTTTTTTCTTCAAATGGTTTTTTTTTCCACAATTCTTGCTATTGATATCAAACGAACTGAACTTTCTAGCGAAACATCTAAATTTCACTTTCCGAATATACCAACCACGCGTAAACAGCAATTTACGACAACAATAACAAATAGAAAACCGAATATTTTTCGATCAAAATCTCATCCAAGATTAAATGGTTTGTCTAATGGTCCAACAACTGTCATAGCTCCAAATACACAGAACACTCATACATTAGCCAAAATTCCAAAGCGGTTACGCCTAGTACATTTCTGGGCAAGAACTCGAATATTTCAGCGTGCATTTATGGTATGGATGGTTGTTTGGATCAGTATGATCGTTTACAATTCTGGCATTGTTGAACATGTTATACACTTAAGTGAAACATTAAAATCAGAATCAGATATTGAAGGATACACAGTAGAAAGATCTCAATCCTTAAATAACTATATTGAATTAAATAGTATAAAACCAGTATCAATGCCTTCAACAATAATTACTTCAGATCACTTAAATAAACAGGTAATTTAAAAATCATCTATTTATTATTTTATTTAAGTCCTAATTGTGTGGAATTTTCAGAACATAAATTTTAATTACCACATTTTGTTATACATTAGGATGACCTAACAAATAATATTACTGATGAATTAAATAAATTAAAACCAATGGAGTTTCCACCTTGGAATCGTTTATCTCTGTATCACTGGTCTTCAATTCTTTCAATGTATAATATCTCTGCCGCCGGAGGACGTATAATTATATTACCTGCTGTAAAATTATCTCATGCTGTCAGTACACAATTAGTGAAACAAATCAGTAATCCAAATGATGTACAACATTTTCAATGGCAGAGTTTTGCAACTGCTGCTCTTGATCCGTTAGACTTCTTAGGTATATAATTACAACATAGAAAAATTATTAATTAAAATTAATCATTTAATCAGTCAATTACAAATTCATTACAGATGTGGAATTACCAACTAGATCTGAAAGTCGAGGTTTTAATGCGGATACTCCTTTTATTCCTTCTAGTCCAATGGAAATATTCTTAGCAACAGTGTTGTGTCTCATTAGCATCATTGTTGTTGCTTATACAATGGTTGTTCTTTATAGATGTGTTTGTTCAAGAAACTATGCTGAATGGCGAGCTAGTTGGTATCAACCAGAGAAAGCTCCTGATTCAACAACGCAATTAGTTCTAGAAGCATTGCCTATAGTTCTTGAAGGCCATATTCAAGAAGTAGAATGCATTGCTACAGATGGCAATACTATAGCCAGCACATGTTTAGCTGGCCATATTAGAGTATGGGATGCGACGTCAGGCGAACAATTAGTGCATGTAGATAGAAAACAGTTCTTTAGTAGTCCCTACAAGAATTTGAGTCACAAAACGCCAGATGTAGATGAGTTAATGTCAGATTACGAAAGTGGTTCACCACCCTCAAGAGGGGAAATAGAAAATACTAATTCATTTGGATTGTATTCGGCAGCGTCGACTATTCATTATAGAAAATCTTCTCCTGGATTATATAATATGCATAAAGGACAGAATTATATTAGCAAAAGAAACTCAATGGGAAACACATTGGACTATGATTATCAAATTAATGAATTTAATTTGGAAAGAAAGAAAAAGCGCACGTAAAAATTTAGACAATGTCTACGATCTTCCAGATTTAAAATCAGCAATAAATATTAAATTTTCATCCATGAAACAGTCTCCAGTACAACAAAATTGTGAACAAGGATTCGATTTTGGTAATCAATATAAACATCTTTTTGAAGAACACAATAAGTCTATGGATGAACTGCGAAATTCAGAAAGTTTAGAACATTTATGTAATACTAATGGAAAATTAAATTCATCTGGTTTAATAGATAATATATCTATGTTAAATACAGATAAAAATATGCAAATTGCACATATAGTATCTTCCATTTGGTGCATGGACTATCAAGAAAATCTTATAGTCGTAGGATGCGCAAATGGAAGTCTAGAATTTTGGGAAGGTACTACGGGTAAATTTAAGGTAAATATAAAAAAATTAATATCAATATAAATATTAATATTTTAAAAAATTTAAATATTTCAGTGTCTATTTGATGATGGATCAGGACTTGGAATATCTGCTGTGAAATTCGTAGGTAGTAGAGTAGTAGCAGCTAAATTAAATGGCTGTATTGACTTCCTACAACTAGAAAGATATAGCGAAGGTCAACAAATTCATTGGGGGTTCACTTCTTATAGAAGAAGTAAATTTATTTTCAACAATTTCGCATATACTATTATTTAGATATAAATTTTTATGTTATTTTCTTTTTCTTTAGCGCATGTTAGAACAGGAAGTGCTGGTTCACCCATGGATATAAATAACATTATGCAATCTGAAGAAGATCTTCGTTGTATGAAAATTGGTTCTCATAAAGCACATCAGCAGGCAATAACTGTACTCGATAGTGAAGGTGGTCGCGTTTTAACTGGTAGTCAAGATCATACTCTAAAAGTATATAGGTATGGATTTTATAAAAATTTTATTTTTTATAAAAATTTCACTAAATACATTTCTTTTATATTTTAAATTAAATTTTTAAATTAAATTTTATATTTTATTTTAAAATATATATTATAAAATTTAATTTTATATTTTATATAAAATTAATATTTTTATATTTTAATAAATTATAAAATTTAATTTTATATTTTAAATTAAATTAAATTTCAGATTGGAGGATCAGTTACCATTATATACTCTTCATGGTCATTGTGGTCCTATATCTTGTTTATTCATCGATAGAATGAGTCCTATGACTTCTGGTAGTGGATCTCAAGATGGTCTTTTATGTGTCTGGGATCTTTTAACTGGTATTTATTTTATATATTAAATAAAATATATTATAATTTTTTACAAGAAATTTATATTTTTTATTTTTTTTATAGGAACATGTATGTATAGTATACAAGCTCATGATGGTGCTGTGGCAGCTATGGCATGTTCTGTATCATATGTAATAAGCATTGGTACCGATGAGAGATTGTGTGTATGGGAGCGATTTCAGGGACATTTGCTACATACTCTTCCAGCACATAGATTTGCTTATAGTTTGCAGTTAGTCATGTTGACACATCATCTACTTATAACCAGTAATCAGGTATATATCTATATTTTTTTGTTTTTTTTATATTTGTTTTTCCTGATACTTAATAATAACTTTTGTTCTATAGATATTACTCAACTTTTTTAAAAATACAAAAAATACAAAAAAAATACTTCTGATTTTAATAATTTCAGGGATCACTAGTAGTTTGGGACGTCCGAACTGGGGAGCCAGTGCGTGAAGTAAGGTTGGGTCATAAAGATAGTTGTATTTTTATAAAGCAAATGTTAGTGTTAAGGGATAGTGTAGTATGTGATTTTGGTCGACAACTGCGAATAGTCAGGTTCCCATTGGTTTCCGATAAATTAGATTAAGATCTAATTTATATGCACCATTGTATATAGCTATTTCGTTTCGTATTTAATTTTAATATTTGAAAAAAATCCTACCATTTATGGGGATATAGATTTTTACATGATGTACATTTTATATTTAAAAACTATCATACACGCACTTTTAATATGAATTTTTTTATATTACTGACATCATAGCCTTATATAATAAGTATTCTACTCTATCATGACAATTTAAGAGATACACAAATATATTTATCTCTTGTCACAATCTATATCTGTAGATGAAGTATTATAGAAAATTTTAATCAATTTTCGGAATTATTTGTATACATTTAAATTTGAAATACTATAAAATGAAAAATATATAGTTAAAGGCAATGATACAAAAATAAAGTTAAAATAAATCATATTTTTAGATAATTGAACTAGAAAAGCTTTTGATATCCGTTAATTGTCAAAAAAAAAAAAAAATGGCTGTGCTATATTTCAAAATATCTGTTTTGTTTCACAGCGTGATTTAGAAGCATTTTTAAATAAACGATGATTGTTATCTTTTTTTCTATTTGATTTTTTAAAACAGATTCGATATACGAAGAAGTTGCATTTGTTAAATTGTTAAACACAGATATGAGCTGGATATCACTTCTGTGTTAGAAAAACAAATATATAATGTTAGTTAATTATGAAATCATTTATCATATAAACAATATGTGTATTGATTCATCAAAAGATTTAAAGATTTCAAATTCAGAATTCTTATTAATATTAAACAAAGAATTTATATTGAGTATCGAATGTTTAATATATAGAGAGATCTATTTTCGTTTTTATGCAATTTTATTACACGCACCACGGTCTAAGAGTGCCTTTATTCCTTTTATATTTAGTCCAACTATAATCCAAATAAAAGAATATTGTAAAGGACTGTGCAAATCACAAATAAAATAATTATGAACAAAGCTTCTTTATATAACAAGAAAGATTTTCAAATTTACAATTACATAAAATTGCAAATGTATATTAAATATTAATTCATTTAAAACAATATAAATAATATAATAATTTAATTTCATCAGCTAAAAGTTCCTTATAACTATTGAGTTTAGAACTTTTCAAATAAAACTTTTAATTAAAAGTTTAATATCCTATGTATCAAAACATATAATCCTGTTTAATTTATTAATCTATTTTTGTAAAGAGAATCAATTATTCTCAAACGAACTAAATGGGTCCTACTTTACATATAAATATATAATGTAATATAATGTAACCATAAAAAATTTAATTATCTTTCTATTTCATGATTCAATATAATTAAAAAAAATAATATATTTGTACATTTGTGACATATTTAGAATGCACTTATGTAATGATACAGGATGTGCATATCGAGCCAACATCGTATTTTTCTTTTAAATGAATAATAAATATTCGTCTGAAAGAAAATTGTGTATAAAAGCGTTCCAATTGAATCTACGTGTGAAGCTATATAATATAAATTATTGTTGAAGAAAGTGTTTAATGTTGCAGAAAGAATTCTTAACAATTAGCTGGTATACATTTAAAAAAAAAATTTCACAAATTCGATTATACAATATTAAGCTTGAAAGTATAATATCCTCTTATGTGCTAATGATTATGTTTCTAGCATAATATGCTATAATACAAAATAATATTTAAACTTCCATTTATGTAGCGATTATTCTTAATAATAAAAAATATAAGATTTTTAAGAATAAAAATAATACTTGTCATAGAACTTTAATTAAGCATCTTTGAAATTTTTGCATAAATATGTATATCCAGTTGATTGTCATGAAATTCTTTACTTAATTTTGAAGTTTGGCATGTGTGTTATGAAATGAATGATAAAAATAGTAATCTATATATCTTTAGACTGAATTGTATAATGATTCATATTGACATGTAAAAGTATCTTTTATTTTCTGATATATTTAAGATAATTAACATTTGATCATTGATCTATAAAATAGAGATATATTTTTCTTAACCAAAGTTCTAAATCATATCAGATCATAATATGTTCATATTCAATATATTAACTGAAAGATATTAAATAAATAAGACAAAATGATTAAAAAAGAAGAAAAATGCTTCTAACAACGCAACAGTTGGCTAATATTTATTTAGGATTTTACATGACTTTTATATTTATTTAATTTAATATGTGCAGATATGTCTTATAATAGATATACTGTTCTTAATAAATTCTCACATTTATTAGATTTCGATCTATTTTCATCTTTCACTGTTATAATATCTCAGAATAAATTCAATGTATGATTGATAAATCTTTCTATTCACAAAATAAATAAAATTAATACAGCTTATTAAAAGATATTTTTCTAAGAGATAGAAGTAAAAGTATTTTTCCTAAAATATATATATTATTATATAAATATATATATATATTACATATATTATTATATTTAAAAAAATAATGATATTATATTAATAAGTTTATTTTAAAAAAGTAATATTTTAATAAATATAATAATATAATGGGAAATTATTATAGTGCTAATAGTAATCTGCATATGGTGGAACTTTCCTTTAGATAAGGATTGTATTGATCTGACATATAAATAATAAGTGATTAATTCCATGCATAATATCAGATGCATATTAATCAATTTTTTGTACTGAATGATATGATATAAACGTTCAGTAATATATAATCTTCTGACATGTATATATTTAATATTATACATAGTGCCATATTTTCTAATTAATATTTTTGAAATTAGAGCATATAAGTATAAGATTAAAATAAAATTAAATTATAAATAATAAACTGGTTTTATTGGTATTAGTAGAAGATATCAAGATATTTTCATACATATTCAAAAAAAAATAATATGTGTATATCTAGCAAACATTAATATCAAAGATATACTTTTTTTTAGAATACTATATTTTTATCTTACAACTTCATTTCATTTTTTATTTTATAATAATCTTAAAATATTGAGGTCATGCACAAATTAATTGCAATTGATAAACATACCATCACTCAAAAGTAATTGATCATCTCAAGACAGACAAGTGTACATAAGTAGCTTTTAAGAAGATGACTGATAAGAAGATTCAATTTTATCTGAATACAGTTGAATTTAATTATAATATTGTCAAATTTTTTTTTTATTTTTTACATTATAAATTCTATATTATTTAGTTACTTGTAAAATTAATTGACAGATAAAAATAAAAGTGAAAAATTTTCCATATTTTCATATGACAATAAAAAACAGGTGTTAAGAACAATATATTGTTGCTACAACAAATAATATTGGTAATAATAACTTAATGAATTGATTTTTTTTAATTAATTAGTTATTATTCATTTAATGCAATCTAATTATAATTACAGAGTATTCAATTAAATCTGACTATTAAATGATAAGCAGATCATTCATATTTCATGTTAATTGATAATTCAATTAAATATAATTTTTGAAGTAATTTTTGAAATAATTACTTGATATAATGATATTTGATAAATATTTAATGTAAAAGAATGTAACATATTTCCAACAACTTTAATGAACTTCAAGACCACAAAAAAGAATTTAAAAAATAATTTCTAATATTTTATAAAATTTTGAAATATTTATAATAGACAAATATTCAATGTTATTACAGAACATTCTATTTGATTCAATTAAATTCTAAAAATTAGAAAAAATTCTTCCTTTAATAAATTTTCAAAAATAAATTTATAATATCCTGCATACATCCAATTTGAGCAACTTGATAGTAATAACTACCTGTTACCTGTTATTGCAACAGAATCAATTCTATCCAATTCTCCATTCAAGTATGTTCATTCTCACCATTAACACTTTTTTTCATCATCGTTATTTAGCTGCCAGATCATGTTGATCAATTTGCAAAGAAGATTAACATCGGTTCTTGCCCCGTCTATAACTAAACAAAGACTAATAGTAAAGTTAGATGTGAAGAATATTCGCAGAGAGGGGCAAGCCACGTGTATTCGTTTATGAAAGCTATTGTGTAAACGCGCATTTAGTGGAGGAGGAATCATATATACACATGAGTTGCTCACTTTCGTTGGTCATTTAGTGTGACTGACAACAGTCTAGCGAAGGATTAGGCTGTTGTCATCTCGACTTCCAAACGGAAGTCATCGTGCTTGGTTCACCTAGTCTTTCCTTATTTACTTGAACTTAGTCAAAGATCAAATGATCAGTTCCAGCGCAGGAAATTAATAAAATGAAGTACAAGATAGGATAGTTAAATTTAGTGTTTTCATATTACTTATATTTCTGTATTGTTTGACATAATCGGCATTTTTGAACACAGTTTTGCAATTGGAACTGATTGGAGAAGAGGAAAGTATCACGAATAATGTTTATAACTGCAGTTTTTTCAATACAAAAATTATGGATGAAAATCGGTGGGTGAGTGATTTGTGAACCACTCGTTAAATTTTGAAGTTATCAAATGCACAAGTAGCGGCTAAATTTTTGATTAATTTGAGTTCTCCATGGTAAATTAATGAATTTTAGAGATAAAGAAAGTGGATTCGTGAAGGTGAACTAGATAAGAGAAAGTAAAGAGAATTGATACTGCTTTATACATATACTGTGGCTGTGATAAAAATAAAGTGAAAGGTTTGATGGATAAAAATATTTGGAAAAGAAAATATATGAAAAGGAAATTTGAAGAAAAGATTACGGAAAAATGTGAAAGATTTAAAGAAAAGAAAAAAAATAATATAATTATTTAGTAATTTTATTAAAAAACTAGTCATTTAATTTCAATATCATCTTTTTTTTTTTATTTTAAGAAGAAGAAGACGTTGAAAACGTTAAAAACATATTCATCGGTATTATTATTTCAATTTTCTTTGTTTCTGTTTTAAGTATAAAAAATTTTATATGGAAAAATATAAATATTTGTAGAAAACGTGTCAAATAAGGAATGCGAAAATAATTTCCATAACAAATCGAAAACAGTGTGTAACCAACAACATATCGATCAAAAATGACAGAGTCAAAAAACAACGATAACATCAGGTATGTAATTATTAAAAATTTTTTATTAAATTGTTTATTTTTTTATAATGTAAAGAAAATAATTGTTATATAAAAAAATCATTACAAACGAATAACTATTTTATTTGTTTATTTTTTCTTTTTTTTTTCTAAAAATTTTTTATTAGTTTATAATAATTAAAGAATTAGTGATTATTAATTTTTATTAAATTATTGACTGTTATAACTGTTTTGAAACTGTTATCAATTGTAATACTTAAATCAAAAATATAAGTGGATAAGTATACAATTATTTTTATATTTAATACATAGTTGGGCATAATATAATACATAATAATAGTTTTTTAAATGTATTCATTATTGATAAAAAATATAAAGAAAAGTTTCCATGTTAGAATTCAAGGACGAATAATTACAATATTCTAATTTTAAATACATTTTAAAACAAATTTTTTTCTTATATTATTAAACAAAATACTTATTATTATACTATTCTTAATATTATTACTTAAATATTATTAAATATTAGTACTGAATATTTTTTAAATATTTTTAATTTTCTTCTTTATGATATTTTAAAATTATCAAAATTTTAAGTGATAAAAATTTTAATAATTTTACAATTAATTTTTCATTAATTATTCAATGTTAATTTAATCTCTTCGAAACTATTAAACTTATTTATATCTTAGATAACTTCTTTATAACTTTTATAAACTTTTATAACATTTCTAACATGAATGACATGAATCTTATTGAAATTTTTTGTCTTTATTTTATTATATATATCCATATATAATAGTCTTATATATCCATTTTTAAAAGAAAAATTTGTCTCGAAAGGATTAAGTAATGAATTTTTCATTGTTTACTTCCAAAGAATTAGCAAAGTTTGTGTAAATAAAGTTTTTAATCGCTAAATACTGCCTCATAATTAATATCATTCTTATCTTAAACTATCGTAATTATTCATCTTTTTACTGCAAATAGTACACTAATGCTATTCGAAATGAAAACAATACATAAAATATTAAATTGAACATAAAATTTTTTTTAAATTGTAAATGCTAAAATATATGACAAATGATTTATTAATTCTTTCTCGATTGAGATTATAACTTCGCTTCTTGTTTTTTTCTTCTTTGAATTGATTGCTTTAGCGAGACGAATTATAATAATTAGAATGATAAAATTTTCATCGTAGAAAAAAGTCTATCTTTTACTACTTTATTATTTTTATTTCTCAGACCACCAACAATAGTTTGTTGCATGTTATGTAATGCGATATTGTTTCATATTTATAGCCACGGTGATTTTTTATTCTTACTATTAATTATCTGGAAATTATTCCGTATCGATAAAACTAAAATTAAATTGTTGAACAAGAATGAAACGTCGATATAAATATTTTAATATTCAATATTTTAAAAATTGAAAATATTGAAAATTTTGTCATACATTTAAATATTCTTATCATTTAATAATTCTTAAGAAATTTAAATAAATATTCAAGATGCAAACAATTAAAAATTTCAGAAATTCAAAATGTGTATGTACGAAAATTTAAAAAAATTCAAATTCCCAGAAGCAAGAAACACTTAGATATTTTAAATCTTTACGTTTAAACGAATCTAATTTTCGAAAATAAAATTGAATAATTCATAAAGGTGAAATTCGGAGAATAATTGGAAATATTAATAACAAATCACACTTTCACAAAAATACGCAGAGATCGATGTATAATAATGCGATATCGATTTCTTTCAGTGAATGTTATGCTGTTTGGGCTTTGCGCAATTCTTTTCATGTCATTATATGACATATTAGCTTATGGTTGTAGCAAATTCAATAACGATGTTTCTTACAGTTCTTTTGTTATTCATTCCTCTGCCTAATTATATTTAATCAAGATATTTGACAAATAGTCAATGTATCGAGAACGTTAAATTAATAAAATTGGTTCAATTTATTTTTTACATCCAACTAAAACCTAATTAATTTTTACAAAGAAATAGTTATATATGTACATTAATTGATTTTAATCATTATAGTCTCTTATATCATTTGATTTGAATAAGAAGGTTGCAGTTTAAAACTTAAATGAAATCTCTTTTATTATAAAAAGTATTGTTATTATTTATTTTTTATATATAATAATATCTACAAATTTTTTTATTCTTTTAGACACACTTATTTCTTTTATTTACAGAATATTATTATTTAATAATATTCATAATTGTATTTTATAGAAAAAAATATTCGAAAGCTGTTTAATTGAACAAATCGTTAATCAATTATGAATCAATATGAAATCTTGATCTGGAAATTTAACGTGAAGAAAAAGAAATTATATCAGATATATTCAAGAAATTATAATTAATTGTATTACGTGTAAGAAATTTTATATTCTTTGTTAAGTTTATTTTTTTTGTCATGTGAATGACTAACAAATTTCAAATTTCTTTATTCGAAATCTTCGTTATACGTTTCATACGTCAAAACCGGGAAAACCAATTATTTAATATTTCAATTTAAATATTCTATTAACAAAGAAGCAGAAAAAATTTTCTCAGAAGATCATCATATTTTTTTTTATTATACTGTCAACAATATAATATGATTATATCATTAATCGTCACCTCAATAGAACACAACTCATCTACTTTAAATTTAATTTATTCATCAATGATTTCTTGCAAATTCAAATTCAAAAAATTTTACAAATTAAAACTAAATTTTCCTGGATTTCGCACGTTTCAAAACTTTCTAATTCGAATTTAAAAATCAAGTTTTGGTCTTTTATTTTTTTTTTTTTTTTTTTTTTTTTTTTTTTTTTTTATACACTTTAACTTTAC